CACAATGATTTTTACCGAGGTTCACTTGCTTGCCGGCAAGCTAGTTCTCGTTGTGGTGATTCACCTACTTAGATGTTCATGAGCTAATAGGCATCACACACCTAACTGACAATCAGGTGCCGCCCAACTAACATAAGATGGGGATCATACAAGCCATGAGCAATCCACTAGAGTATATTTTTGCTCTTCGTCGGGAAAAGGTCAAGAACCCCTCACAATCACCACGATCGGAGTCGGAGACAAGCACCTTCCTCCGCTCGACGATCTTCGCTGCACCAAGCCATCTAGGTGGTGGCAACCACCAAGAGAAACAAGCGAAACCCGCAGCGAAACACAATCACCAAGTGCCTCTAGATGCAATCACTCAAGCACTGCACTTGGATTTACTCCAAATCTCACAAAAATGATGAATCAATGATGGAGATTAATGGGAGGGCTTTGGCTAAACTGACAAGGTTGATGTGTCAATGTAAACTGCCAAGAGAGTGAGCTTGAGCAAGCCATAGGGCTTAAATAGAAGCCCCATGAAATAGAGCCGTTGGCTCCCCACTGTCAGCAAACACGGGGCGACTGGATGCGCCGGTTGATGTGACCAGACGCACGCCACCCAGTGTCCGGTCGCTGGATCTGTGCCACGTGTCCTCCACGTTTGACGATCACCATACGATCCCAACGGTCGAGTTCCAACGTTCACGCGGTTAAGTTGAGAATGGACACAGCTGAGCAGGACCGGACGCGCCGATGACGGCCCTACCCATGCGCGTGCCCACGCCGACACGCCCTGACCGGACGCGCCACTTCCCATTGTTTCCCGGCGTCAGGTCAGTTCCAATAAGGTTCTAGAACCATTTTTCTATGATCGGACGCGTCAGATTGCCGATGACCGGACCTAGCCCAGCGTCCAGTCAGTTCTCCTCTTCTGCGTGCCAAGTTTTGCGTCCGGCGTCAGCGTACGTCACCTGTGACCGGACGCAGGCCCTGCGTGTTCGGTCACAAACATAGTGCTGCGTCCGGTCAGTTTCCAGACACAGCCCGAGCGCGCCAACAATTTTATAATTGATTGGACTCACCACCTCAGCGTTCGATCACTTCGAGTTTAGCGTCCGATCAGTGCTAAACAGCACTACCACTTCTCCAACTTCACCACCCTTGCTCAAATGTGCCAACCACTAAGTGTTTCACCTTGTGCACGTGTGTTGGCATATTTTCACAAATATTTTCAAGGGTGTTAGCTCTCCACTAGATCTAAATGGATATGCAATGAGTTAGAGCATCTAGTGGCACTTTGATAACCACATTTCGATACGATTTTCACCCCTCTTAATAGTACGGCTATCGATCCTAAATGTGATCACACTCGCTAAGTGTCTCTATCACCAAACCAAAAAGCTCATATCAAGTTTTACCTTTGCCTTGAGCTTTTTACTTTTCTCTTTCTTCTTTTCCAAGCCGAGCACTTGATCACCACCATGGTCACACCATCATCATGATTTTCACCAATTGCTCCATCACTTGGAATGTGCTACCTATCTTATGATCACTAGAGGAAGTAGGTTAGCACATAGGGTTTTATCAATTCACCAAAACCAAACTAGAGCCTTCAACGGGGCGTGACACAAGGGGACAAACCCCTCCGCTGGCTTCAAGGGCTCGGGAGCTTCTGGACTCGCTCGTTAGCCCCTTAAGCTGGATGCCTTCTCCACCAAGAAGCCTACAGAAGGTGCACCTGGTGGAGGTCGGTCCAAGCCGACAGAGCTTGACACTTAGCGTGTCAGAACAGAGTAGCCGGATGAAGCTCGGGGCTTCTTTGGCTCCATGACAACGCCAAGGTCCATCAACACCGCTGCAAGACCCTCCTGGACTCCGGTGCATGTAGACCATAGGCTAGACTCCCCCAAACCGTCATGTACTCGACCTACTTCAATATATAAGGGGAGGTCGGATCCTAGAGATGGGGAGGATGATTCCAAACAGATCATTTGAGTCCACACTGAATAGCTCGAGCTCTGTGCCGAGAGTAGAGCCACCCAGAGAGGAGTACCGAGAGCTCCTCCCCTCTTCCATCGTCTCCCTCCTCTCCGGCGAGGGGGAGACCTCATTGCCGACGAGCTTAGGATCAGCACCGAGCGATCCTCTACCAAATCTCTCTCTTACACTTTGTTGTAACCCCTCGATTTTGGGTGCTCTTGAATACAAGGATCATCTGTTGCTAGACGCAGGGCCCCGATAGCCCGAACCAGGATAAACCGTTGCGTCCTCTCTGTTCTTTGTGTTCTTGAGTCCACCCGAGCCACCGAAGACACACACTTAGTGACACCCGACGGACAACAATGCTTGCCGCGGTTTCGACCCCGCGACACCGGCCGAGCCAAGCCCAGTGCTGTTAGCGATGGCAGTGGTGGTGGTGCTCACACGACGCCGGCTCTAACCCCGACGGCTGGAATCACCTGGCCCCGGGCTCCCCCATGTTGCAAGCACATGTTTCAAGTGTTCCAGATATTTCATACGTATGTTTCAAGTGTTTCATGCGGATGTTGCAAAAGTAGATCATGATGTTGCATATGTTGCAAGTGTCTGTTCCCAATGTTTCATTTATTTTTTTCAGACGCATGTTGCAAGTGTGTTTATCTGGATGTTGCATGTGTTTCACACATATGTTACAAGTGTTTTATCTGGATGTTGCATATGTTTACAATTGTTTTTCAAGTGTTTTGCATGTGTTTCAGACGCATGTTTCGAATGTTAGGTTGCAATTGTTTTATTTGGATGTTTCAAAAGTAAATCAGGGTGTTGTGCATATTGCAATGTGATCCACTTGCTGCAGCTGCTAGTGCGCCATGCATGGAGGGTAGCGGCGCAACAGGCGTGGAGAGGCTTGGGAAGCAGGAAAGCATGGGGAGTGGCGCGGGCGGGGCCCCCTATCGTGCAGCAGGTGCTGGCGCGGGCGTCCGGACGCGAGAGGTCCGTCCGGACATCCGGGCGCTAGTGCTGCTGTAAAAAAATATCTCTATTTTTAAGGGTGATTATTAACACATGGTGGCGTCATTTTCCCTTGCAGTTGATGCCCCTTGCAGTTGATGCCATCACCGGTGACTGGTGGGTGTGGTCGTGTCGATCTGATGGAGAGTAGACAACGAAAGTAGGGTTATCACTTATCACTTCTTTTATCTCTTTTTTTATCTGTTTGGTTTGGACATGCATATGGTGCACATATTGCACGGAACAACGAGTCGATTACCGTGGGAGTAGACACTATCAGTGCTATCGATACAACATGCATGACGATGGAACACACGTGAATAAATAGCGGGTGAAAGTACCAAATGAGGTAACAAAACTATAAATAAAAATATCGAGACTATATAATATTTTACAGTTTAACTCATAACACCGTACATAAGATGGTTCATAAAGTTGGCCAATTTTGATCATTCTTGGAACGTGGGATTTTTTTACCTTTTCTATGTTTTGCTATGAAAAATAAACTAATTCTTGTGAAATTATTGTATAATTCATGTGAAATTTTCTCGTTGCAAAGGGCCCTAGAGTTGGAATGACTTTTAAATCATAGGAAATGGCTTATGAGGTGTAGAACACTTATATCGATGAGCTTAGGTCTATCATTTGAAAGAGGCAGACAAAGTGCTGCCGAGTAGATAGTATTATTTATTAGAAATATATACAATTTGCACTAACGAAAGGCATGGAGAAAATTAAGTCATCAAAAAACACTAAGAACAGGTCCCAATTAATGTTCGTGTTTAGTTTTGTGCCAATAAAGAGGGGTTGTAATGCAAAATATTGTACTTGATTACAATAATATCTTGTTAATCCAAATAAGTCTTACAAGTAAGAATCTTATTGAAAGTTAAGAGAGGTGAACCACAACTCACAGTTATAGATTCAAGGCCTGTTTGGTTCGCGCCCTATCAGGCATACCAGGCATCCGATCCTAGCCCAATGCATCCAAAATCAGACACCTGAGAGCGTTGTTTGGGCCAGGCAGCTCCTGTGAGGAGCAAACCAAACAGACCCTTAAGAAACATGGCCAAAATACTTTTGGGTCAAGCTAGTATTTTACACCTTTGATTAAAGCATTGATAAAAGTGCATCGAATTATATAAACAAATTCGAAATGTAGTTCATAAAGTACAATGGGCGCGTTCGGCTGGTCTGAAAGTTTCAGACCAGCCGGCTAGTTCGGCTTGTTCCCCTCACGTGCTACAGTGCATCTTTCAGTCGCTACAGTATTTCTCTCTCACAAAACCAGCTGCTACAGTGTTTTGGCTTCTTTTTTCAGACAAGCGAACGGGGCCAATATATTGACACGCATGAATTCAACCTCTCTCTCTTCTCACTCTCTCTCCAAGACCCGTGACAGATATATAAAGATATACTGTGAGTCCAAGACTCCAAGTTCGAATAAAATGTGTGTATTAAAAGTAGATTAGAAATAAAGTAGAATTCTATATAAAATACATATATGCCTATAATAAATAAGAGTAGACCTAATACAACTTGTATAGTTTTATATATATAAGTAGACGTTAATTCGTGTTTGATTATGTATATCAAGTCCTATTAGGACATCTAATAGCACTGACTATATAATGAATTTAGAGGACACCCCCTAAGTTGATTCAATTATTTCCAGGCCGTATTTGCTCAGACAGCGTCAAATTATTATTGTTCACGCTGTCGGGCCTGTGGACTGGTCTCTAGCTAGACCAGGTCCAGTCATCCTATAATGAAACGCCCACCAGTTTCAGATCCCCACCAAACACCAAGCGCGCGCCTATATCAGGTCAGCTCTGGAGTCTGGAGCTTCCACCACTCCCAAGGAGCTGGAAACCTGCCATACATCCATCCTTGCACATAGCTCCGACTCCGATCCAGCGCCACCAACCCGGAAGCAGCAGCAAGCCTCTTGGCTCTTGCACGTAGCTTCCCTGGCTCCAGCCTGCAGCGCCACACCTCCACCTCCGCCGGATCGGGAGAAGATGGTGTCGCCGACGGAGCCGCAGGCCGAGACGACGACGGTGTTCCGCTCGACGCTTCCCGACATCGCCATCCCGGACCACCTCCCGCTCCACGACTACGTCCTGGAGAGCCTGGCGGAGCGCCGCGACCGCGCGTGCCTCATCGACGGCGCGACGGGCGAGACGCTCACGTTCGGCGACGTGGACCGGCTGTCGCGCCGCGTCGCGGCCGGGATGCGCGCCGCCCTCGGCGTCCGCAGCGGGGGCACGGTGATGCTGCTGCTCCCAAACTCCGTGGAGTTCGCGCTCGCGTTCCTCGCGTGCTCCCGCCTCGGCGCCGCCGCCACCACGGCCAACCCGCTCCACACCCCGCCCGAGATCGCCAAGCAGGCGGCGGCCTCCGGCGCCACCGTCGTCATCACCGAGCCGGCGTTCGTCGGCAAGGTGCGGGGGCTCGCCGGCGTCGCCGTCGTCGCCACGGGCGACGGCGCCGAGGGCTGCGTCTCGTTCTCCGACCTCCTCGCTTCCTCCGCCAACGACGACTCGGCGGCGGCCATCGACGTGGCGAACGACGTGGTCGCGCTGCCGTACTCGTCCGGCACGACGGGGCTGCCCAAGGGGGTGATGCTGTCGCACCGCGGGCTGGTGACCAGCGTGGCGCAGCTCGTGGACGGCGACAACCCGAACCTCCACTTCCGGGAGGACGACGTCGTGCTCTGCGTGCTGCCCATGTTCCACGTGTACTCGCTGCACTCCATCCTGCTGTGCGGGATGCGCGCCGGCGCCGCGCTCGTGATCATGAAGCGCTTCGACACCCTCCGCATGTTCGAGCTGGTGAAGCGGCACCGCATCACCATCGTCCCGCTCGTGCTGCCCATCGCCGTGGAGATGGCCAAGAGCGACGCCATCGACAGCCACGACCTCTCCTCGGTGCGCATGGTCATCTCGGGGGCCGCGCCCATGGGCAAGGAGCTGCAGGATATGCTGCGCGCCAAGCTCCCTCGCGCCGTGCTCGGACAGGGGTATGGGATGACGGAGGCAGGCCCGGTGCTCTCAATGTGCATGGCGTTTGCCAAGGAGCCGTTGCCGGTGAAGTCCGGCGCCTGCGGCACGGTGGTGAGGAACGCCGAGCTCAAGATCATCGACCCGGAGACCGGTCTGTCCCTCCCCCGCAACCAGCCCGGGGAGATCTGCATCAGGGGCAAGCAGTTGATGAAAGGTACCCGATTTTTTTCTTACACAAATTTACAAACAAACAGTTCTGTCTAACTAGTCCAGACAAGGGCTTGAAGGTGACACATTGGCTGCCCGGTCTGGTACGCGCAGGGTACCTCAACAACCCGGAGGCCACGGCGAAGACCATCGACTCGGAGGGGTGGCTGCACACCGGAGACATCGGGTACGTTGACGACGACGACGAAATCTTCATCGTCGACCGGCTCAAGGAGCTCATCAAGTACAAGGGGTTCCAAGTCGCTCCGGCGGAGCTCGAGGCCATGCTCATCGCCCACCCCAGCATCGCCGACGCCGCCGTCGTCCCGTAAGTAGCTACCGGCCTTCCCACGCTTTCTCGGTCGAGTTGCACAGGTTCTGAACAACGTTCGCTTGATACTTGGTCTGATGCAGAATGAAGGATGACTCCTGCGGCGAGATCCCGGTGGCGTTCGTCGTGACGTCCGGCGGCTCCGAGATCACCGAGGACGAGATCAAACAGTACGTGGCGAAACAGGTGAGATTTACTAATAAGTTACCGATCCTTGCAATTGCAAAAAAGGATATTCTCAAAACCTCATCATCGAGGAGAGCACCAGTCCTGAAATTTAAATTTCTGTAAATGTTATTTAGGTGGTGTTCTACAAGAGGCTGCACAAGATCTTCCTCGTGGAGGCTATCCCCAAGGCACCATCTGGCAAGATTTTGAGGAAGGATTTGAGAGCAAAGCTGGCGTCTGGATTTTCCAACGGATCATCGTGTTGATGCCCCTGAGGGCCTGAGTTCTTTCTACACGAAAACGACCCCAGTTTTAGTTGTTTTTTAAGCTGAACAAGCTAAAAAAAAAGATATACAGAAAACGGTGTAAACGAGAAGCAGTCAACCATGTACAAGACATGTTATCTAGATAAATGAAAGTTCAATATTGAGTATTTGCTATTAAGCATTTATTGCTTTGAAAGTAACAGATAATTAACTGAGCTGCAAAAATTATGTATTATCCTGATTAATGTCTGAATGACATTGTCACAAGTTAGGACAGCAAAAGGATACTTTTGTTTTGAAAGATCCGGACATCTTGGATTTAGTTAATAATGAGGAGAGGAAGAAGAAACAGCCCAAGTGAGTCAAACGATCAAAATTGACCCGTTCTAATATCTAATTACCTTGCTAACTACAAAATACAAGTCCAGACGGCAGGTAAGCTAGCTGATGTAAACAAACGAAAATAACAAATGGCAACCGTGCAGACAATCAAGCGCCAGAATGAGACACTGGTGATGTCGTAAATTGTCCATCTTTGAACGCGTGAATATACTGCTGGGGCAAGGAATGCTCGGCCTGCAACAGTTTAGCAAAATGAGAGAGTACTCAAGAGTCAAGACCAGCGTATATATTTTATATAAAAAGCAACTATGGTCTTCTTTCAATCCAACTTCTCCATATTCTCCCAGAATGGTTGTGTAAATTCTGGGTGGTGACATATGAAGCTACAAAATATTGAGGGCCTTGAAAAACAGAAAACTGAAACCAAAGTGTCAGTTTAGTTAATTTTTTTAGAAAGGGCGGCAAGAGCTTTGCCACGGTTTTATTAGACGATAGAAAAGAGCAAAAACAGAATTAAAATCAACTTCTGTTCCATCCATTGTAATTCATTTGTAACTTTGAAAGTAAAATAGGAGAGCCTCAATAGCTAAATCAAAGAAGTTAGTAGAGTACTCACCCAATCACCGTCAGTGTTTGCATCTGGAACAAGAGCATTGATTTCACTTGATTTAGCGGTTGTTATAGATGTCTCTAAAGATTCCTTGCTTAAGTAAAGTTGGCAACCAGATGTGTTGTCTATTGATATAGTCGGAACCGAGCCCTGTAGTATCATTAGAAAGCATAAGAAGATATTTGCATCAACTGATGCAAGTAAATATGATATCTTAATCACAGAGCATGGGAGCGCTTCTATATATATGTTTGGAAGAAAATCTACCTCACATTGGACCTCTGCACTGTTACAATTCACAATTTCACAAGCCGCTACAACCCCCTGAGAACAATACATGACAAGTTAATGAAGCAACAAGAATTCCCTGGAAGTATTTGTTGATTTGTCAACAGATGTACCTTGAATAAGACTCCTACTTTGGTGCACTTATCAATTGTTATGTTGTTCACTTTCCCTGCACAACAATGTCCACATATACACCTGGACAGTTATTGTTTTCTCTTAAAAAAGAATGAAGATTTATTCGTAGCACTTTGGTGGGAAAGTACCTTTGACTTGCAGCACACAATCCTTGCATCCATATACATACACCGACTGTTTGGTATCACAATCTTCAATAATTAAGCTCTTGTTCCCAACATGATGCTCAACCACCCATCTGATAGAGAATGACATTAATCGAGTGAGCTTGTTTCATTGATGGTTTATTCGCATTTATGGATAGGAAGGAACATAACAATTACTTGCGACCCATCTGGAGCTCCAATTTAGCAGGTCCTTTAGTTGAGCTAAAGGAATGTGCATTGCGAGTTTCTTTTCCTTCAGCAGCTACAACACCTGTTTTGTCTGTTCTATTTTTGCTCTTCATGTCATCAGTTACCTTCCTGAGGCCTGTATATATAACAAGAAGGTGAAGCAGTAACCATAACATAATTTTAGTGCATGAATTGGGCAGGTGTACGAGTTGTTCAACCGAAAATCAAATGAAAACTCATACTGAGCTGACCTTGTGTCACTGGTTTCCCAGAGCTGATTTCAGCAAATACTGCTGACATTCCAGATTTTGGTTGGGATGATGAGGCCGAAGAGATGGAAAGGGATGTAGAAGGAGCGGACGGGACTGAAGGTGCCTTGTTGGTTGCACTTCCTGGCGGTTGCCATACAGGACCCAATGGGTAGTACCTCTTCACATAATCACGCAAATTGGGCACATAAAGCTCTTTCAGGGCTTTAGCCCACTCCACATGATCAGGGTCCTTATTTTTGTATTCCACAAGCACCTATGATATCATTATCCAACACTAGTATGAGTGAACCTATATGTGCTTAGGAAATCAACTCTACTACAGTTAATCTTTGAATAAGCTTAGTTAGACATGGTATTATGCTAAGTAAGCAGTTGGTGGTCCTTTTCAACTGTTAGTTAACTCTGAATTTGTTTTTGTTTTATAAAACGTGTATTTTTCTTGAATATAAATTTTAAGTATGGACACGGGTCTTTGAGTTTCACATTTCCATTTTCTTGGGAGCCTTGAGTTACTGTATTGTTTACACATTTTGCCCTAGAACTTGGTACCTGATAAGGATTCATTTGATCATTTCCTCCTTCAATCACTAACCCCTTCACATATTGTCTAGGTGCATTTCCAGAATGACATTCTTTTTTGGAACAGAGGTACCCTAGTATCATATTAGAAAGGTCGTCAACTGTGAGTAATATATACCTTATTGCTGTAGAACTCTGCCATTTGCCAGCTCTCTTCTACATGAGCAATCGGAAGAGGCATACCTGAAGAGATATACACAATCCAGTTAGTCTCCCACTTTACATACACGAGCAGCAGCAGAACATGTATTGGCATGTTGTTTCAGCTCCCCATCACATAAATTTACCAAAAGGTTAGAACGTGATAGTTGATACTTACCGCAACCTTTGCCAGTGTAACCAATCCATGCCAGAGCGGCCAGGCTACCGGCTGCTGCTTTTAGATGGTTGGCATAGATCGATCTCGTCCCCTCCGCCAATGCGTTGGCCTCCAAGATCGTTTCATTCAGCGGCCCCATAAACGTCGTCACTGACTCCATTGTTGGTTTCTACCAAGTACCAAATCATAAGCATTTAACAATTGATCATCAACCACAAATGTACCAAATGCGCAAATACTTTATTTCCCATGTTAAGATTTCAGACTTCACTGTCATTCGCAGAGAGATAGGAATGAAAGCTGAGACGAACAAGAGGCGCACCTGTGTCTGGTTGGTCCTGACAAGAAGGTTCTTCCCAACCAAGAACGCCTTCTCCACCAATCCCGTCACCTCGGCGACATCCGCCCCGATCTTGCCGGCGGCCGCGGACACCCTGCCGAGCGCGCTGGCGACAAGATCGTCGAAGGCCACAATCGCCGGGTCCTGCGCTGATGCAGTAGTGTCGGGCAGGCCGCCGCGCACCCCACCGCTGAGTGCCTCCAGCCGGGATACCGCCGCCTCCAGCCTGCCTATCAGAGCTTCTCCCATGGCGTTCGCGCGTGGGCCGGTGATAGGATCGCTAGGAGGCGAGGAGTGCGGGGATGGGCAATGCAGATAGGAACGAGAAGAGACTTGAGAGAGAGAATGGAGGAGCAGCGGGAGGCCAACGTCGCCACGGTAGCCCTTTGGAGGGGGAGGGAGGGAGGGAATGGCGGAATGAAGCTGATCTGAACCGAGAGAGACGTGCTGCTAGACATCTGTACCTATGCGAGCCCCACGGACGCAGTGGAGAAGGGCGACAGTCCTAACATAGGTCAGAAGAGAGGATCAAGCAAAGTTTTTGCATTCTAGTTGGATCAATGGTAAAGCACCGGTTGACATGGAACCGAACCTCTACCCTTTGGCATGGAGGGAGAATCGATTGGTTAAAGACGACCTCAACAAACATGAATTGGACAAGGGCGTTATGGAGGATTTAGAACATCACACAAAATGGCTAAATTTGTGAAACTATGGGATTTCTTACAAGACGTTCAGCTGTCAGACCAATCGAGTACAAGTGGACAACTGATGGTGTTTATACCTTCAAATCGACCTATCTGCACAGTGCATGGGTTCCTTCTGGTACTTCAAGGCAAAGTCCATTTGGAGAGCGCATGCCGAAGAAAAGCAGGAGTTCTTTACCTGATTACTCGTCAAAGATCCTCACTGCTGGTAAGCTACAAGCTCACCATTGGACCTGCAACCCAATATGTGTGCTTTGTGATCAACAACCGAAGACAACGCTTCATCTATGCCTCTAGTGGTCTGGCACCCCTCAAGAATTGGATCGGTGATTGTATGTATCCGAGCTCGTCAATACGATGTTCAACATTTGGAGGGCTAGTGGTCGGCCTCGGTGGTGAACTAAGCCTCCAGCAACATAGGAATACAACGTGTCGACAGAATATCGTCGACAGAGGTAGATTGATCAGTGAGAGGCGTGTAATTAAGAATAAGAAGGCAACACAGACACACGAGTTAGACAGGTTCAGACCGTCAGTATGACGTAATACCCTACTCATGTATTCTGTTGGATTGTATTGGCTATCATATGATATGGCGTGAGTTTGGAGGGGTCCCTGTCCGCCTAATATAGTCCGGGGGCAGGGTTACAAGTCGGTTAGATCTGAGAGATAACCGAAAAGTAATAACAGATTACAGGAATCATGAGATCATACGTATCCTAACAGATCTCGTAGTATCTTCAGGATATCTTTCCGGTGTCTTACGGAAGGCGTCGAACAGCGTCGTGCCCCGCAAGGCTTCGTCTTTTGGGCTGGGCCGCCCCTAGGGGCGTAGCCCATGTGGTCTGTAGTGGGTATCCGGGGTCGTACCGTCCACAGCTAGTCCCCGAGCGCCTTGTACCCATTGAGCAACGCCGTCTTGAGCTTGTCCGAGCAGGTGCGAACAAAGCCGAGCAGTCAAACTCATGGTCCGACCACCGTGATGAGTTGCTGAGCAGTTGTGAGCAGTCGCCAAGCAGCGAAAACCGTCGCCGAGCAGCGTGGACCGTCGTCGAGCAGCGAGAACCGTCGCCAAGCAGCGCGAACCATCGCCGAGCAGCGTAACCCAAGTACGACTTGCCATAAGGGTGTAAGGAGCTCAAGTTTAGAATCGAAAATTTCTTCACAGTGGACCAAGTGTGCCCACTTAGAGTCCGACCACGAGAAAGAGAGATAGTCTTCTTCAGCTCCAAGAAGCGCGAAGTCTTCCAGAATAAAGCAAACACATTCACCGCAAGGTGAAGTGTGCCCGCTTAGTCCCCGAGCCTGATAGTAGATGACGTAGTCATATGGTGTCAGGGTCCAAAGTAGAAGAAAAGTAGAAGACCAACCGAGCAGGCGTCCAGTCCCCGGGCGTAGCCCCGAAATGAGAAAAATGCATTCACCGTAAGGTGAAGTGTGCCCACTTAGTCCCCGAGCCTGACAGTAGGTGACGTGGTCACGTGGTGCCAGGGTCAGAAACAACAGTCAACAGAAGAAAATCCCCAATGTGGTGAGGAACTGAGACGTAATGCTGCGCAGTCCCCAAGCCACAAGAGGAAATCTTAGAGAAAACAAATCATGGAGAAAATACCAGAGTAATGGCTGTACAGTAGTAATTACTGAGCCGTAACGGTTGGCGAAGAAGTCGGCGAAATTCAGCGAGCCATAACAAATTGCGGAGATAAATAGGCGATACGGGCCGCGGTTGCGCGAAAGCCCAAGCAACGCCCCAGCTTGCTGTTGCGGAGAATTCGGAGAGGAGCCAATCGTGGGAGCGGTTTCCCAAAAACCCTCAAATGCGAAAGGGTGGGAGAGTGCTTTATAACTGCGCCGCCGCACCCCGCGCTCCCATCTTTGCCACTTTGCCATTTCATCTTCCTCCCCAACCCTCGCACTTCCAGTTTCATAGCCGCACGCACTTCCGCCGTCAGCCCCAATCTGGATCTGAGAGATGGCGCCGAAGAGGGGAGCTGTGAACCCAAAGAAGGCGAGCCCAAAGAAGGCGAGTGCCAAAGCCAGGCGTGACGAAGAGTGGGTGCCGTCGCGCACGGGGGAGGCGGAGCTCAACAGATTGGTGGAGGCGGGCGTTCTTCCTAACCGCGTCACCGCCGGATGGCGGCCGGCCCTCGGTGAGCCATTCCCAATGCCTCATACCGACAAAGTTGTAATGTTTGAGGACTACTTTTGGCGCGGATTAGGTTTTCCTATTCATCCATTCTTGAGGGATTTGTTGGAGTTCTGGAGAGTCAGTCTGTGCAACCTCCACCCAAACACCATATTGCACATATCTATCTTCATCCATTTCTGTGAGGCGTATCTCGGAATTCTTCCCCACTTCAACCTCTTCCGTCACCTATTATGGCTGAAGAAGAAGGGTGGCGGTGGTTCCAAGGTGGTCGGCAGCGTGTATCTTCAGCTGCGCGATGGAATGACGGGCGAGTACCTTACTGTGCCGCTGAATACGTTGTTGAAGGGGTGGAACACCAGGTGGTTCTACATGAAGCAGAGCCACCCCGCCATCCGCTGCGATGCCGACCACATCCCGGAGAGCCAGAAAAACTGGTCGGAGAAGCCAAGCAGTGCTGATATGGAGCAGGTAAGGGAGCTCCTTGGCTTAATAAAGGGCGTGAAGACAAACGGTGGACTAGTGGCGGCGAGCTTCATAGTGTGCCGCATCCAGCCCTGCAAGGAGAGGGCCCACGCAGCCTTTGAGTTCAAGGGGGAGACCGACGGCACCCGAGAGAGGATGGAGATGCTGTCGAGGGACGTTGTGCAGGAGCGGGCCGTAGAGCTATTCGCTCCACTTGCCTCATTCAACTTGCCAGGGCAGACGAGACCCTTTCACTACAAAAATCTACCTCCTCAGGTAAATATCTCAATTGTATGTTCCTGATGCTTTTTATCCTTTGTCGTTGTCGTGTAGTGGATTGATTCACTTATGCAAAGATCCATTCGCAGGAAAGAGCGGTGTACTTCTCAGGCGTGCCGAGGGGTGATTGGCCGTAGGCAGTAGATGCCCGGCCACCAACGTAGCCTGAGGAGGGAGCCATCAGCATCTCGTCGAAGTCCGGAGGCGCGGACGCTGGTCGGACAGAGAGTCCATCCCCAGTGTCGAAGAAAGTCTGGGGGAAGAGGGCAGCGGCAGACGAGCCAGCCTAGAAGAAGAGAAAGACGGCGGGTGCCACTCCCCTCAAGTCGGGCGGCATATCGCTTGGCGGTGACCGGACCACTCGGACGTGGAGCGCCACGATGTCCGAGTGGTCGGATGACGACGAAGTGCTAGTGGCTCCTCCACTGAGCACTAAGGCGCCTCCACGCAACACGTGCGTGGAGGGGCAATCAGAGGGAGGGGAGGGAGTCCCCGAGCAATAGGCGACGGGAGTCCCCGCGCAGCAGGTGAAGGGAGTCCCCGAGAGGCAGGCGAGGGGAGTCCTAGAGCGGCGGGCGGAGGAGAGGCCGACGGTGGAGACCGCGCGACCTCCACCCCAAGGCACAGGAATCGACCCTAAGGTTGTGGTCGAGGGCTCTAGTAGGCAGTGCCGGTTTAGAAAAGTGTATCAGCAGGCCAACACGTAAGTATCCTTGCCTTGGAGTTATTTTGTTGCCGTATCCTTATCTCTTTTGGCGACTAACAAGCTGGTCTGATGTAGCGCGAGGCGCGCGGAGGATCTCACCCCACCCTTCCAAACTGACGAGCAGCCGAGGGCTGGTCTCAGGGCGGAGCCAATGCCGGTGGCTCCTGTCCCGGAGTCCCTGGGTGCTCGGCAGCCGGCGGAGGAGTCAACCGCCACTGCTTATGGACTTGGTGGCGGCGAGAGATTGGCGTCGACGGCGGACGGGTCGGCGACGGTGCCCGGGGCAACGGCGAAAGCCGCCGGGTCTTCAGGAGCGGAGGCTGGAGTCGCCGATGCCGCGCCAGAGGCCAGAGCGGAGAAACCTACAGTGCCCAAGGAGCAGACGGCGCTCCCTGAGGCGTCGACGGGTGTGGTCGGACACGTTGTCCAGCCACGGAGCGCCTCGGTGGTGCCTCCAACTACAGCGGAGGAGGACGAGGTTGAAGAGATCAAACGTGAGGAATCTCGACCCCAAGCTGTCTGAATCCTCCGCAGATGTGACGATGAGGTGGTGGTTGTTGAGGAGGAGGACACCACCAGGGAGCTAAGGAGACTGGAGTCCACCCTTGCCAGAGTGATGAAACAAATCAAGGTCAGTACTGCATCTAGAGTGCTCATCTTTAATGTTGGAGATCGGAGTTCATCATTGTCATTGATGCGCTTTGCGGGATAACTTTCGATCACCGAGCAAGCGTATACCGCCACCGATCAAGAGGATGGAGCCCTCACGAGGAGAATGAAAAGCTCAAGGAGGCGATGAACCTTATGGAGAAGAACATCCAAAGAGCCCAGTCACGAGTGAGACCTTCTTCGAGTCCAACGCTAGAGACACGGAATACCAGAAGGGCATCCTATACGAGCAGCTGGTGACCGCGTCCGAGCAGCTGCGGGGCAAGTCCAAACAGCT